AATGATATATCATCCTTTATTTTCCAATGATAGATCATCTTTATTTTCCAATGATAGATCATCCCACGCGTAGATTGACTCCTTCCTTCATACTCTTTGATAGGTCGAAAATTTGATCCGTCAAATAGGGAGCCAATGTTCGAGGACAAAACTGACCTCTGAGAGATCTATTTCACCTTATTCAGACTAAGTACACAACCCGACCTATGCCTAGGGGCCAACCTATATAGATAAAAGGGACAAAGAAAGTGGCAAGACACACCTCCAAGCTCCACTGTCTCTAACCTACAGAGGTATAACCATTTGCAACCAGTTTATGGAACAGGCACAACAGAACGATCACCACTCATCTATCTATAAAAGGACTCTCACTCCTCATATTTAGGTATGTTATTCTGTTTGAGACTAGCTTATTCAACTCAAATCCAGACTGTCTTGAACTACGGAGTGTTTGTTCCTTATGTGCAGGTCTTCCTTACATAACTCGCTCCACTTAGTTTGTCAAGGTGAGAAAAAGTTGATCTTCTCAAGATTGACAGAACTCGGCATAAATGGAAGTAATTGTGCTAGTGTAGTCATATAGTTTCCAGATCTTAAAATCGAGAGTTTCTTATGGGAAAAAAAATCCAAGCACATATATAATCACGGGAGGGAGAGAAATGAAAGAAAGCAATATCATGTGATGAGTGATTGCAAATGGAAAAATAGTTTAGAAACAAAGGAAAGTGTGGTAGCCCCAAAATATATATTAAGAAGGCTAATAATTAAGAAACTCTACTTGCTCATCATCTCATGTGCTATATATATAATGTAAAGTTGCTTTTTCTTCTTCTCCAAATTAGCATCACATGAACATAACATCATGAGAGAGAGTCAATGATTATTGAATAATTCTCGGTGCAATCAAATGGAAGTAAAAGGCATTTTAGTTTAAAAGAAAGGTGATGACTTGGCCGACACATTGAGAAATTTTCCCTCTTTTCAACTGAGTTTTGTTGCTTTCTTGTAAATGGCCTAAATAGCTGCATGTTTAGTTTAGTATCATTTTTTTAGAAGTACCCTTTTTTCTCGGTAGATTAGCTCTTTTTGAAATTTCTAAATATCCGTCGATATGACGACATTTCCATCAACATATCCATGTTTTCATGGGTTCGATATCGACATGAGGGATAAATCGACGTTTCTATTATAGTACAAGAAAATCGACAAGATATGAAAAATATCAACAATATATACATAATATTAATACTAATTATTTTAACTAATTTAGAAATAGAAAAATGTTTATTTGTTATTTTAAATAGTGTTTTACGATTTTTTAATTTTTCTATCTTTTATAGAAATATCCATCGATATCGACATTTTATCAATATTTCCATGAAATTGAGACATCAATATTTCTATCGACATCGACATTTAAAACCTTAGGTGTACCATTTTGTTATATAAAAAAATGTTTTGTTAAAAAATGGATCCAAAAAGTACTTTTTAGAGATTCTAGATAACTATTTTTAGATAAGAATACTTTAATTATAGATACTTAAGTAAAAATTATGTACAATATATAGTAAATAACTTTCATGTGTGGTTTTACAAGTTTCTTAGTCAAGAAATTAGACCAATAAAACTTTACAAGTGCTTTTTTTTTAAATAAAAAAACATTGGGCATTTAAAATCCCAAAGCACACCCTCAAGTAATACTTCTTGCAAAAGTACTTCAGATCAGGAAGTGTTTCACTTGAGAACATGTATTTCAAAAATAATCATCCTAAATTCACTATAAGTTATCAAAAGTGAAAGTGAGATTTACATACTTTAAATTACTTAATCAAGGTGAATTTGACATGTGTAAAAAATATTTTAACTAATTTAAAATACGTTTCAAAATTACGATGGTGTTTGATATATATTCGAAAGTAATTATGAAATTTATAAAAAGACTTAAAACTGCACTTAAAAGTGTTACTCTCGAACGCATCACGAACTACTTTTAAAAAAAATGGCTTATTGGTTTAAACCCTATTCCTTTTATTACTAAACTTTAAAAAAAAAATATTTTATCCTCTTAACTTTAAAATATATTTTTTTAATCCCGAAACTTAAGCATTGAAAAAAATAACTTTTAGTAAATGTGGTGACTTTATTTGACAACTAATTTTATTGAAATAACCTAAAATTAAACTTATAAGGTGAAGAATTAAAAAAGATTGCCCACGTAATATTTCTATTAAAAGAATTAATGACGATAATTAAAATAATATTTTATGTGAAGTTGAGGTACAAACATAGAAAGATTAAAAAGTAACTGAATTTAGATACCAAACACTCGACTATAAAAAGGGTATTTCAAACATGTAACATAAATGTGCATGTATATATTTGGGTAGTTTGAAAGACACATAAATGAATTGCCACAAAGCAATAACAACAAAAGGCTTCATTATTATTTCTCTCTGACTTGGGGGTGATTTTTTCAACAAGTTTTTCAGAAAATGGATGTGGGTTAAAAAGTTACAAAACTTTTACCTTGGGAAACATCACTCTCTCTCTCTAGTTTTTTTTTCCCTCTCTTTCTTCTACTATTTTTCGTCTTCCTTTTTCCCGAGTAAATTACCACCAAATTCAAATACTTAATTCGATGGATAACAACGAATTGAATCATTTTAGGGTCCGTTTGGTAACGTCCTCGTTTCTTGTTTCTATTAACTTCTTCTTGTTATTTTCAAGATTTCTATACAATTTTGAGAATGTTTCTAAGAAATGAGAAACAACAAACCTAAGTAGTTAACAAATGTTTAGATTTTCTAATAAAATTAGAATTGATAACATTACTGAACGGGCCTTTAACACGCTTTTGTTACTTATAAACCTTTATATTTGTTGGAATTGTAGTATGTGCAAACAAAGTCTCACATTAGTTAGGAAAGAAAGTGATTCATATGGTATATAAAGAAAATACAATTATCTCCATTGGTATGACATCTTTTGGGAGAAACCAAAAGCAAAGTCGTGAGAGTTGTCCAAAGCAGATATATCATCTCATTGTATATGGATATATGCTTGGGGTATTTGGATACCAAGAATCACGTTTTTATAACATGTTAAATCATGACTGAACTCAAAAATTTACCCCGATAATTACAGTAAATTTAATCATTTAGCAATATTTTAGTTGACAGAGTTTGTTTGTTGAACATTTTATTTTATTTTATTGGGAAATTGCCAGTGGCGGGCCTTGGGTATTAAATTGGAAATCAATGAACCTGCAAAGAGTTTAAAGAAGGGATTGAAAAGGGTACTGTGACAGATTTTTAAGCCGAAAGCCATTCAACTGCATTCAATTCCCCTTTGGACTACTCGTCAAGAAACCCAAAATGATGAGTGTGTCTCACCCAATACCAACCCTTCATTTCTTTTTTAAAACCCAATATTATAATTAAAACCTAATGGCTTAAATTACAACATTATATCCCTAAACTTTTAGGATTTGTGTTTAATGGTTCCTGAAGTTCAAAAAATGTCGAACAATTAGGTCAATGTGAACTTTCAATTTGAGTCGAATAGATTAAGTAACATTCGATTTTGTGTGTAATAGGACGGTAAACTTTGAACGTTTCTAATAGGTCCTTTAAATTTCAATTTTGTGGCTGTTAGGTCCATGATTTATTAAACAATTTAAAGATTTATGAATCTATTAGATATAGAATGGAAAGGTTAAAGCTAAAGGTTTTATAAGACGCAAAATTGAATTTTGTGTCTAATACAACCCTGGTTTAATTAGACACAAATTTGAAAGTTAAAGAGACCTATTAGATACTTTTAAAGTCTATGAATCTATTAGACACAAAATTGAAAGTTTATGGACTTATTAGACATTTTTAAAGTTCAGGGACGTATTAGACACGAGCCTAAAAAGTATCTAGGCACTAAACCTTGTTGTTTAACAACCTAATGTTACAAACAAAGGTGGGAGTTTCACCTTAATTCTAGTTTTAGGATCGTGTCCAAAAATAATCTGAAGAGTCTACTGCATAAAAATAAAGATAAAGTTGTACGTGTTCTATTCTGGTGCCACTATAAAGTAATTTTTAAGGTATAATATAATTATATTGGTTTTTATATAGATATTTTAATCAATTAAACTACAAGCTCATATCAATGCAGTCAGATCTTATTTTTCAAGAAGAAGGACCACCATCAAAGTAGTTTTAATTATATCCTATACTATGATATATCCAGCAATAATAAAGTTCATAAATTTTAATCCCTATGAATATGTGTTTTCCCTGTTAGAAGGTCTAGATAATCCTTTTATTATTTTGTGAGTTCTTAAATATTAATTATTTCTCACTCTTAAAATAAGATAAATAATTCAATAAAAAACAGACGACTTTATAAACCTTCATAGTGTCTTTCATAAAATTTAATTTCTGGAGTGAAAATATACAGCTATATTAAGGAGATGCATATGCACCACTCTCATTAAAATAAAAAATTTAACCATCTCATTAAAGTAAAAAATTTAACCCATGAAGATAACAATTTAATTTTTTTAGTTTTTTTTTTATCATACATGTTCGGACCAGCTTTAATCTTTATAGTAGTTTAAAACTTATCATAACGATTTAAGTCATACAACAATTCTGAATTGGTTAATTATTCAGAAAATCCCATTTAATGGACGACTTTCTTATGCATATATAGTTCAAAAAACTATCTAGGGGTCCAAAAATATATTTTTGAACTAGAAAAATTAAAATGTTGTATATTAAAGATTAATATTTCACTTTGACTTGATTTTTTAACAGTAAAAATTACTTAATTAAGACAAATTCTAAAAATTCATTCATAACGCATTTTGACATGGACCAATTAATCATAAAGTTTAAACTAATAGTTTGATTTAAAGATCTAAGTTGAAAACCATATTGATAATATATATATATATAAAAATTATAACAAGCAGAGTCAAAAAGCAACCTTATATTATATATTTATATATACGTTTTTATATAATAATTAACATTTGAGAGAAGAGAGAAACTATACGGAAGAAAATTCAAAACGCAGCGTTTTACACACCGCTCCATTTTTCAGCACATTACGTCCTTGAGAAGCTTGTACCTCCGCGTGGTCGGTCGCGGCGACGGGACGCCGCCGACGCCGGCGTGTTTGCCCTTGTCGGCGGCGGCGGTATGATCTTCTCCGTGCTTGATTTTGACGGTGGTGTAGTCGGAGCGGGTCATGATCCCGGCGCCGCCGCCAGCTTGCGGCGGCGGCGGTGGCGATTTCTTGGAGGAGCTGCCGTGTGATCTGGAGGAGCTCCGGCCTTCGCACTGGCACCAATCGCACACCTCAATTGGCTCCGCCGATTCGCTGTAGTAGTTGCTGCAATACCTACCAAATATAAACACAAATAATTCCCAATTCAAATCCAAATTTAAATTTGTTCACCAAAATTAAAAATCTCCAATCATCACAAAAAAGAAAAAAAAAAACCCACACCATTTTCTTGCGATCCCACCAAATCACCTCGTACAAAAATTTAAGCGGATGAGTTACTATAATTTTATCAAAACATGAAAAACTTTAAAAAATGTTACATTTCACGAATTTCAACATACAACTTTTCATACCATCCATCCAATATAAAATAATTAGTAACTTTTTTCTTCATAACTCGATATTGTGTGGCTTCGTGAATTGGATCTCTATAATCCAAGGTGTCGAGGGCCACTAATCGATAATCTCGTTCTTCAGAAAGGGTTAAATTTAGGATTAAAATTAGTGCATCACCCAAAATTCAACGAGGAGATGAAAATTGGCTCTGATGTAAGAACACAAAAACTCTAAAATTAGAGTGGGAGTGAACATGCATGTTAAGGGAGAGGAGATAGGTAGAGGGAGAGGAGAGAGAAAGAGGTAGAGGAGAGGAGAGAGAGAGGGAGACATACGAGTGCTGGAAGCGGTTGCGGCACTTGTTGCAGCGGAAGAGCTTGTCGGGGAAACCGATGTCGCCGCACATGCAGCAAACGATCTGAAGATCCACCATTACAATTTTTATCACTCACAATTTCTAGAGAGAGAGAGAGAGGGGCAAAGTTTTTAGTACACAAACAACAAAATAAGAGGTTGAAGATGAAGATGAAGATGAAGATGAAGAGAGAGAAAGAGACTTAAATATAAAGAAAAGTGGTGGGCATTGAAAGTTTTGGAGTCGGTGTATAAATCCGTTTTCAGTAAAATAATAATTATTATTAATTTATAATATTTTTAGAGAGAGAGAAGACCACAGGTTACTTGGGCATGGTTGCAGTCGTTTTCAGTTGAAGGAATGTGAGAGAGAGGAAAAAAATGGCTTTAGAGAGAGAGGGAAGAGGGTAACCTTAAAAAGGAAGATGGAGTGATATGACCATTATGCCCCTGCCACTGCCCCTGCCCTATTGGCTGTCCCTATTCCTATGTTTTTGTCGTGTTTTTATAAAATTGAATTGAATTGAATTTATATATATTTTTGCTTTCTGTGTAATTAATTGGAAATGTATTGCCTAAAGGGGAAGGTGCTGCGACGCGCCGTTTCGAGAGTGCGGAAACGCACATGGTCTCCCCTAACTGACACTATGTGTTTTCTTTTTTATTTATGTGTTTTCTTTTTTATTTATTTGTTTTCGTTAAACATGATTCCACGAAGCCAACCTAAGTATAGCTCAGTGTTATTTTTAGAATTGTAGATTTCATCTCACATATCCATAATTTATAACATCAATAAAATATCAGTGATATTGACATTTCGATAAAATATAGATCTCAATATTTCTAATGTTGGGTTTGTAAAGTGATTGCAAACAAAGTCTCACCGTTGGATAGAAAAGGGAATGATCATAGGTATATAAGAGAGGACAATTATCTCCATTGGTACGGGACCTTTTGGGTGAAATCAAAAGTAAAGATGTGATGACGCTATGCACAAAGTGGACAATATCGTCCCATTGTGGAAATACTCGGGTACTTGGAGTACCGTTGTCTTTAACATCTAATTCATATTGACATTTTAAATTTTGGTACGAATGATGATAGGACATCGTGATTTTATCGAGAATCGGTGATGGAAACATAAATAACAAAAAAATCATATAAATCAAGAAATTAATGAACAAATATTTTGTATTTTTTAGATAAGTAAATTTTTTTATTATTTGTATTACTATGTTTGTGACAGTGATATTTTGTTAATATGTTTTTGCTACGTTGCAAATCTTTTATTCTTTTGGCAAAATAGAAAAATACTAATTAACTTCTTATAGAATGCCCAATTTTTGGATGTATAGTGTCGAGGAAATGAGCAAATATTTTGGAACTTGTATAAATTATAATGAATATCCTAAAATTTTGTGTTCATTACAAGTTTTGGAGAGGGACATGTGTCCCTCATGTGAGAGTGTGAGAGTGTTCGTCAATAAACAAATGAACCTACAGCCAGAAAACTTGATGTCAGTCGATGTTCCGCCTAATACCCTCCAACGTTCAAGTCAGTAGTTGAAGTAAGAAAATAGGGATATACATCGTGAGGTTTAAGTGACAGGTTTTTCACTTACTTGGTGTTGGTGTGAGTCCTTCCCTTTTATAGGCGCAAATGATCGACCAGGAAGGACGATGGTTGAGGAGGTAGAGGCTTGTTGAGCTGTACAAAGTCTTAATGGAGAGTCGTGCACACCCGACAATCAGCGGGTGATGCCTGCACCTGCAGCTTTGCAGTTTGCAAGTTCTAGGCTACCGTCCTCGACGTCTCCCCTATACGGTGACATTGCGCCCGTATGCCTGCACTAAATAATATTATAACCGTGTGTGGTCTTGCACCTCATTTTGTCTTACTCTGATTTCTCCCTCAACATTTAATAAGAAAAAAAAAAACATGAATAACAAATTACAATCATGATATAGATCGACCAAAGCATATAATCATGTTATAAAATATGAAATTAAATAGCATAACAATGTATATGCGAATTTGCTACAAATTCTAATAGATGATGTTACCAATCATTTGATTACAACATTAAATATATTATTTTATGGAAAAATAAGAAAAAAGGCATGAAACAGTTAAATATGTTTTGGCATCAGAAATTACAAATTTAATATCAAAATAAAATTTCGTAATTAAATTTGGTAGTTACAAGAGTTATAACAGCTATATATTAATTACACAAATTAATATAAACGTTACAAATTATAATAGGTTAATTTTTTATTCTTTTAAGCTAACGAGTGAAATTTTAAATTAGGTTGAAAATATTACCTTGCGTGGAAGAAAGTCTCTCTCTTAACAATCTTCTCTATCCATTAAGGAAAAGATTAAACATATAAACCACAATAAAAAAGATGATGGTATGCAGCTTTAGCATATCTTCATACATGAACTCGTACGGAAAAAATGTGAATTCATGAATATTGAGAATCCAGTTGCTTTCGTCGCTCAAAGTTTTCCACTTTCTTATCAAAAAATTTACTACTGGTAGGAAATCTAACTCAATAATCAGTCGTTGAAAAAACTGAGGTCTCTTGCCGGGCGAAACCCCTGTTGGATTGCAAAAAGCTCAGCTTTCAAATGGGAGAAAAGTTTATGGGTATAATATTAGTCTAGACCACCAATAAATTAAATTTTCAGAAGAATTTCGTAAAATAAGCCCTATACACATACCTGTCGTTCTCTTGCGACAAGAAGCATAAATCAAAAGGTCGTGACTGCCAATATGATGGAGCGATTCAAATTTCGAGAAGAACGGATTGGTGGCTGGGTTGCTGAGCTTTTGAAAAGTCTTTAGTATGCTTGAGAATTCATTCACATTTTTCATTGACTTCACGTGTTTTCTTTCCTACCACACAGTTATTCAATTATTTTAGATTCCCAACGTCTTCGTCAAATCTCATTTTTTGACTCAATACTCATTTGAGTTCGTTGAATTCTGATACCAAATTAATATTCCTGGAGTTCCATCATCTCTCAAAATTAATTGGGTAAGAAGAAAAATAACTCAGATCTATTATAAATCTTTGTAATATCCCTTTTCTTTTTGACGTGAGATACTTAACAAATTTATCTCTTTACTCCGATAATATTTTGTGCAAATAATTTCATCTGTCTTTAAAAATCATATTAGAGGCAATAATGGTGGAAGCTAGAGGTAAGAGTTGGTAACAGATATGTCTTGCGCGATGGTAATCGAGAAGTACAGGGAAGTGGTTTCTATCTACTTCTTGCATACTACAAAATATGGTGAGACATCCATATCCCTTCCCTTTAAAGAATGCATTGTGGGTATGCAATTATATAAAATTTTCCATAGAAAATGCTTGATCTTTGTTGGAATACAAAGTTTCCATATACTACTCCAATTTAATTCGTGTGCTGTGGCCGCGGCCAGTAGATTTTGATTCGCACTCTAATTCTATATCTATTTTTTTACGTTATTGTATTGTCCTCGTCTATACTGTATTGTCCTTGTTCATCATAGTGTCATATCTAACTATCCAGAATGCTTATGAAATAATAGGAATTTGTTTGAATGATATTAACATCCTCCCTACCTAGAATTAAATTTAGGCGTTGTACATTGTATACTTCTTTTGGGTTAATAAATTTTATCACATTCAATTCACTATTTATGTATCGTATAGAGGTGGAGATAGGTTTAAGAGTAGTTTCACATAGCTGTCGTCTTTGAAAATTTTAATGGAACTATCATCACCAATCTTTTTCCTCGACCCTTTTGTGGAGAAGATCTCACCCCAAAAGAAAACATTTCAAAAAACAAACAAGGAAGATTTTTGACCCATAGTAGCTTATAAAAAAGTAGAATTAGGAGAGTACTTTTTTCTCCCACATATGGTTGTACTAATAAATATATATATTCACTCCGGACAAGTTTAAAATAAAAAAAAAACTTAGCTCTTGACTTATGAAGACTATTTTGTGTTCACCACTATTAATTATTTGGCAATTAAGAGAGAGAAATGCAAAATCTAAATAATTTAAAAAATATATATGTTTTGAATTGTGATCAACCTAGAAATAGGTCCTCCGAGACCTAAGTATTCTCCTTTAAATGTAAAGTGATCAACTCCATTTAAAATCAAAATATGACAGCCAAAATTTCTTTAAAATATAAAGTGATCAAATCCATTTATATTCCTTCGTTTTATTCCTAACATTTATTTCACCCTAATAATTTATTTTATTTATTTATCAATTGTAGTCTAGAATTTCTAAAATATTATTGTCCCCGAACTTTTAAGTTTATTACACTTTTGTCCATGAATTTCAAATTTTCTAGTTTAGTAATAAAAGTAGTTATTTTCAAAAAAAAATTAAAACTAAAATATATATTTTAAAAATTTCTAGATTAAAATAGAATAAACTGACTAACCTGAAACTTAGATATTTATTTTTTAATCCTTTTGCATGAGCTAACATAAATTACAATTTAACCAATGTTTAGTTGACCGTGAGGATAAGTTTAGCCAGAATTTTAGGAATAATATTAATTAATTGAGAGTGGTATTCAAATTTTATTAGCATTTAGTTCACACAGTCCTAACTATTTCTAAGAAATTTAAAAATATGTTTGGAGTGATTTTAAAATAAGTAGTTTAATTTTAAGTCATACCCCTTATATAGTCATGTCCACGTTTAGATGTCTCAAATCAGATATGATGACATGACAATATTTTCAACTCGAAATAAGATGTTCCCTACTCAACCTTAATTGAATAGGTTGCCTCATACTTTTTTCAGACTCACAGCTCGATCTCTAAGAATTCAATCTTTATCTTAAAACTCTTTCATGAATGTTATCTCTCTATCATGATTACTCTATTAGGTGATCTTTTAATCTAATAATGAATTGTATTGCCGTGGAAATACCGCACTCAAACACCTCTCCGATAAAGAGCAACTTATGATCATTTGAGGATATGGATTCTTCACCCAATACTAAAATATTGTTCTATTTTACATTTTTACCCTCAATATATATTTGACATGCTTCAATAAACACTAATTTGATGGTAGATTTTGCATAAGTACTAGAGTAGCGCCCACCATAGGACAAACTTTTTAATCATTTTT